CCCCAAAACCCCAAAACCCCAAAACCCCAAAACCCCTTTCTCTTCGTATTAAATTGCAAATACTTAGGTGAATATTAAATTTTGATTGGATGTGTTACCTAACAAAATACTTAAAAATGTTCATTTTTTATCCATTTGTGAAGTCACTAGTTTTCTATAGGAAAGTAGCACGATTATCACTCCGATTTTCTAGCATCTTAGAAGGCCTAAAATGGGGGAAATAGGTTATTTTAGATAAAGTATCATATATTAGGTTCTAGAAATTTTGACTCTGAGGGAGAACCTGAGCTTGAAATGAAGCAGACAGAGTTCATAGAACTCTACGTCAAAATTCTTAACTTTCTTAATAACTTTTCCTTTCTCGAGGATCTTGCTCATCATCTCAAGGTACTTTCATACGACCAAGTAATAGGTATAATTAGTGCTACCTGATGCTTTACTTCTTGTCAGTGACCAAGTAGCTAATAAAATGGATACAAAAGTATTCATCTGGTCGTGATGAGCGGAAAGCTTACGTAGCCGCTCCATTACGTACTTGTAGCCACATCCTAGGATCGCTAAGAATGCTCACAAGGAGATATTCTTACGTCCAAAGATCTTCAGCACTGATGGGATAAATCTCTTGTTTGGTGAGATTGCTCCTTTGATTACATTCAGAGCAGCTTGGGCAATAAAGGCATAGTAGAAGTTCTGGCCTAATTCTTCAGTCATTTTGATCAATTTCTGACTGGCCAACTGTTTGTTCTCCTCAGTCTCCTGAGAGATATACTTTTTCCTAACCAAGTAGCTCTTCACAGACTCTAAGGGATTGATTATATCATTGATAATAGTAATGGAATCGTCCTCAGCTCCTTGGCATTCTGACTGTTGAGTGTTGAGGTTACCCCCACATGACTTCACACCATTGGCATCAAAATGAGGGAAGTCACCAACTATTGACTCTCCATCAGTGGAGGTTTCCCACTGACTTCACTGGGCCTGATGACTAGCAGCCTCTTCTAGCTCTGCTGGTCTCATAATTTTCAAATCACCCGTCATATTCGACATTCTTTTAATATTTATTATCAATAGTAATAAAATGTTGGGGTTTTGGGGTTTTGGGGTTTTGGGGTTTTGGGGTTTTGGGGTTT